TGTGAGACGAAACACCGAGGACGAGGCCGAGGATCATCCCCGCAGGCAGGAGGAGCTCCCTCGGTGAGGTTGCCCACGAATTATTGTGCACCGCGTAATTAATTGTGTCCGCTCGCCGGCCGTTCTATCGCCGTCGCCATTACGGCGTTTATCGCGACCGCTTGAGCCTTCTGCTGAGTCGGTCGATTTTGGGCATTTCGGGCGACAGGAGACAAGCGGCTGAGGAAGCGCGGACACTGGCGACGGAAGCGCGTATCGTAGGGTAATTCTCGTCTCTCTCCGGGTGTCAGGGTGCGTAATACGCGTAGCATTCGACCGTTGGGTATCGACCGCGTGCGTCGTAAATCGCGAGCGATGCGTAGTTCGCACGGGCTGTCGTTTGGTTGTCGAAGCCGCGTCTCGCACCTCTGGAAGATGTCTCTGGAAGAGCGAGTCTGTGGAACGTAATTGGTCGTGATTAATGAGTCTTCGTGTAGTATCATCGTCGTTCGTGAATATTGCGTGAAATTGCGTATTATTGTCGCGTCCATTGTATGCGTGCGAGTTGATCGTCTCGAAAGAAGCAACTTAATTCCTCGAAATTGTCGCGGTGTGCGGGTATCGCACGATTCTAAGTAGCGATATCTGAGGTCAGGAAATTCCTGGCAAATATTGCGGCTATCGAATGAGGCGCGGTGCGGGACTGTCGCCCGGCCTTCCTTATTGCCTTGAGACCGAGAAGATTAATTCTCCCGTTGTTGAAGGTATCGGGGATGTGACACGACATTGTCGCATCGCCCCGATTGCCAGAAAAATTTGAGTTGCGAGCGTCGCAGAAAAAGGCGGAAATATCTATGACCGCCGCCGGCTATCGAACTTCGCCGGTATCGTCCGCCAATCGTATGCGAGATCTCTCCTCGCGAAACTAATATCTTTTCGCTTATTGCGTAACTAATCGGCTGTCTTATTTCTGGGTTGTCGACTTCGAGTACGCTCGGAGGAAATTGCGAGATACGCAGTTAATTAGTAAGATCTCCGCGAGGCTGTCGAAGCTGCGAATGATAGGCAGGTACTATCGCTCTCTCTCTCTATCGCGTATGGTACGACCGTTAGCGAGAATTCGAATTACCAAAATTCCGTTATAGAAATTATTGTTCTCAGGAGCTTCGACTTTAGGGAGCCTTCGTAATAGACGCTCTTTGTTAGACCGACTTAGAATATCGCGCGTTTTTCTAGCGTTTCGAGATTTATTGTCCGTGGCTAGTACATTATTTCTGTTTCCATTCTGTATAGAATTTTATTTCTTTTCTGTTAATACTTTCTTACTCTCTTAATAAATCTGTTATTTTTTTTATTAAATCTCGCGTTCTTTATTTGGCTGGCGATCGTCCGTAATTTCTGTGTCCGTCTTTGTCTGTCAATTTAGTAAGCTCGCTCAATCAATTAACTTTTTCTTTCAAACCCCGCCCCTCTACCGTTAGGCGAGCTAGCCAGCCCGTGGCGAAGCAGGCTGTCGTATTCTTTCGCGCTTTTCGAAGAATTTGTGAAAACTGGTACGTGAGAGACCGTACCTGGCGCCCAGTTCTGAGGTAACGAGACGGCCTTCGCTCCGCCGCGGCTCGCGCGCGGACACCCTCCATCCCTGTCCCGCCGATCGCGAGTACACCAAAACCCTTGTGTTTTTGACGGCGCTTCCGCTCCCCCGCGAGAATAAAAATTAGAATTGAAAAAGCGTCGCAGTCTATGTAACTGTAATTATGGCTGCGCAGTCAAATATATAAATTTCTACATACACACGCACACATATGTATATATATGTATACAATAATTATGTACTATAGATCTATAGAATTATAGATATACATACTTATATATAATTATGTACATAGATCATCTTTTTCTACGTAACGATAACTTGTATAAATAGATTACTTGTAAGAATAAGGTTTAGATGTTGCATGAAGTAGGAAAAGAGTAACATCATATTTGTAAAACTGGAAATATATTTTAAGTTGTGGGAGGATGGATTATATATGTTGATGCTGCCTTATAAAATAATACTTATTAGGGTACGCAACAAACTTACATTAATAATGATTAAATTTCAATTTAAATTTCATTTTGTTTAAAATAGAAATACAATGACAGAATTGCAGCATGTCTTATTTCAATTAAATCTGAACATCTAAAATTTTCATTGATTTTTCATACGTAAAACAAAATTATATTTTATAATAAAGAATAATGCAATAATAATGAAATCCATAATACCCAGTCAGAAATGTAACTTTGATTCAAAGTTGATTCAACGTCGATATGGTTGACAACTGGTTGAGTTGATATTTAGTCAGAAATGTAACGTCAATTCAATGTTGATTCGATACGTTTGACCTGCAGTTGATGCGTCATGCGCTTGAGTCGAATAATTGAATAAATTGATTTTCGTGCAATATCGATTTATGATTTTTGAATGTTTCATATAGCGTGAGATTATTTAAATTAATTATAAGTAATTTTTTTATTATTACTAATTAATAAAATATTAAATTTGCAAGAGATAAAAATTATACGCAATAATTAAAATTAAAAAATTTTTGATATAATTAATATTAGAAAAATATTAAGAATATATTGAGGCATAAATATATAAAATATTATATATATATATATATATATATATAGAACTATTTCTATAAGGTTTTGCAATTTTTTTGCGAATGCGTTCTAACTACGCGCGGTAATCATAACCGCGGTGAAACAACAGAAAGCACAGATCGATGTGTGCAAACATATGTTGGCCGTGTTCCGAAATCACTGCCAGTACTGCAAATTCTATAGTGCACGTTACGTATATTATATATTTTCAGTGCTGGCAGTAAACTGGCAGCAATTTCGGAACACGGCCGTTATGTGCAGTTATTGTGTGTGCGATATTTCTTTTTGCTAACCGAGTTTTGCAAGTCTCGCAGTCTCGACAGGTAAGATTAGATAAATAAATTTCTATTTTAATAAATATAATATTCGGTTGCAAATAGTTAATTTAGTAATGCAAAAATATTTGTCCGCTAATACGTAGTGCCTATGCCGGCTTTGCCACACGTGGACACACACCATATATTACAATAAGTTAAATTGAATAGATCATTAATATATATTCTTTTTGATAGTTAAATTATAAAACAATTTTATTCAGTAGTGAAAAATACACATAGTAATGTAATCTTGTATCATATATTTATTTATCTCTCAACCTAACCTAAAAGTGATAAAGCTATTAAATTTTGAGAATGGAATATTTATTAATATAAGATAGAAAATAAATATTTTAAAAGTGTTAAATTGTTTATTAGTACAATTGTAAAATTTCCGTATACAGAAAAATTAATGCTTTAAAATGTAAAATTGGCTATTTACTTTGTAAATAGTGTATAGCGAACAAATATTTTTGCTATTACTAAATTTAACTGGCAATATTTATTTTTATTTTATAATATTTTGCTATTGTATGTAGAGATTAACATTTGCTGAAATAAAAATCAACTCTTATTGATGAAAGCATCTTACAAGATAAAAAAAGAAGTTCAAATTAACAGTACATATAATGGACATCGATGAGAATAACAAGGTACATATATAATTATTTTTACATATAATACATTGTACATTTTTTTTATGTGTGTGTGTGTGTGTGTTTATATCCATTTCTTATATCTGATTAGTAGATTATTTTTTTATGTAATAAGAATGCTATGCTCAAGTGATTAAGATTTCTGTTGTTTGTTTCATACGAAATTCAGATACTTTAATAAAAAGAATAAAGATTAATTAATTATTCTAATTATACCTATATGTTCATATTCTATTGTTTTCAATGTTACAGATGACATATATTGTTTCTATATTTTATATACTACTTCTATATGTACTAACAATATTACATATATTGTTAATACATTTATTAACAAATATTATTATAAATTATCATGCAGTCTAGTCTATGTTTCTAAGATAAACTATGATAAATATTAATTTATTTGATTATTTTTCTGATTTTAGAAGCAAGTTTAGCTATATTAAAGTCATAAGTACTTACTATTTTATATTATTTCTTCATAAAGATTTTGAATGTCATCAATCATTGATCTGGCATAATATTTAGAAGGTACATAATATAAAGTATATCGCAGAAGTCATATTCTTATTTTCTATGTAAAAAGATATAATAAAGTTTTAATTTATCTCTTGTACACTTATTCACGGATTATCTTCAGCTAACAATAAATGACAAGTTTTTTTTATTAATCTTTAAAACAATTTAAAAAGTTTTTTTATATTTAAATTTTATTGATGTCCTTATTTTACATGAAGGAGGTTTTTATATTTCTAAATTCCTTTAAATATCATTTATTTGTAATTTGTTGTAGAAGTTTTTGCAATGTAATCGTAATTGGAAAAAGAGGATTGAGAGGAGGGCTATGAAACGTTTGAGGCTTGAAGAACAACAAGATTATGCCTTCAATAGAGTCTGTACATTACTAAAAAAAAAAAATTAAGATTCAATAATTCTAGCAGCAGCAGTAGTAATAGTAGCAATGATAGCTTTTTTACAGATATTTGTGAAATGTCAGATTAAGTTGAAATATTTGCAGAGGAAGAAAATAATGTGTCAAGTGAATTAAATAATTTGAATCAAAATAATTTGAATTCTGAAACTGAACTTGAGATTAGTGATCATGAAGAAGACACAATTTCTAATAAGGATGCAAATATCATGAGTTCAGAAACAAATACTGATGATGATAGTGAAAATGAAAATATTGATGCAGTTTTTGATAACGATGAACAAAAAGAAAGATATATCACATTAAGTTTATATGAATGGGCATTATCAGGTGGAATTCTTTCTATGAGTAAAATTGATGAACTTCTTGCATGGCTTCGTCCAGTGTTTCCTAATCTGCCTAAAAGTTATAAAACCTTGCTTGGAACATCTGATAATATAAATATTATAAATTTTCGGAATGGAGGGCAGTTTTGGTATAAAGGAATAAAAGATAATTTAGATGGATTTATTTTAGAAGAATACTTGCAGAGAAAAAAAAAGATTGAAATAGATATCAATACTGATGGACTTCCTCTTTTTCGAAGTTCTAAAAAAAAGTTTTGGCCAATTTTAGGACATCTGGTAGGGACTAAAAATGAACCATTTGTTATTGCCATTTACTTTGGAACGTCTGATCCTAGTGACATTGAAGAATTCTTGCAAGATTTTGTTAATGAGGCTAAAAATCTAATCAACAATGGTTATGTACGAAATCAAAGAACTTATGATTTTTTTATTAGACATTACATTCTTGATGCTCCAGCTCGAGAGCTTATAAAATGTTGTATAGGTCATAATGCATATGCTTCTTGCGAGAAATGTACAGTGTGGGAAGAACGATCGGATAACAGGCAGACATATGTTGATCTTGATGCTCCTTTGAGAACTAATGAATCTTTTAAGAATCAAACACAGTCTCACCATCACAAAGGAGTGTCACCTCTTCTTAGATTGAATACTCAAATGATTTCTCAGTTTCGTTTAGAGTCCATGCATTTAGTATACGAGGGTGTATTTAAGAGATTGTTAGAAGTATGGATGCGATGGATAGGCCCATGGAAGTTGCATTGAACTATTGTGGAAAGAATGTCTAATATGCTTATCCAAATAGCTCCCTCTTGCCCTCAAGATTTTGCCCGAAAATCCAAGATCTCTAATTGAGCTTAGCATTTTATTAAAGCAACGGAATTCCGTCGTTTATGCTATTACGATCGGGCATTGTGGTGTTTGCTCAGCATCCCTGATATTAATGTTTTATAAGCCTTCTATCTATTACATTGCACTATTTTTTATTCTTGCAAATCCTGTCCTGCATAAAATTATAATGACTATGCAAATATTTTTGCTCCAGAACTTTTTATTAAACATTCTGTTACAATTTAGGAAAAGTTTGTCCAGTTTCATAAATGGCGATTCTCTTTGTCATTTAGCGGCAAGAGGTAATGATTTGGCCCTTTAAGAATCATTTTAGTGCCTTTTGTTATCAGGAAAATAAATTGAAAACATAAAAATCATCTTAAATCTGGTTTAACCTCTTCAGCAGGTAGAAGCGTGAAAATTAGACAGGAAATGAAAAAAGTGTATTCATGGATTCTGAAATTAACGAGATGTGTTACAAGAAACATTTAGAGATGTAAATGAATTAATTAATGGCAGTTCAATTAACAAAAAGTTTCAGTAAATGGTGTAATCTTCAAGTGAATGGATAAAGATTCATTTTTAAAAAACAATTTAGGTCAATTGTAGTCTTTAAAAAATATTATTCTTTTACAGAGGATGATATTAACTTTTTACTTGATAATAACTTTTTATAAATGTTGGAGATTTTTTATACATATTCCTCTGAATTTCCTCAGAACTTGGCATTATTAAATTATTCTGATTGAAAATGATTAAATTAATTATTTCGTGTACAACCCAATATTGTTGCTATAATGCTGGCTACACTTCTCTCAAAGATGAATATGTTGTATACCTTTGTTCCACCACACTGCCTTTCTTGCAATAAAATGCCAGAATTTTTTATTTATATGTTTTAAGTATTTTGTATCAAATATACATTTTATTCTCTTTTATATTATATTTAGATCCTTATTATTAATTATATATTCTTATTCAATTTATTATTATTTCTCTTGTGCAAAGTTCATTATAGACTTATTCAATTAATAATAATTTTTTTCAGTTTGTCGTTGTAAGTTTATAAAGTTGAGGGAATGAATACTTGTAAGATTGGAGATAATGCTGTTTTCGAAGTCTGTCTTACAAAATGCTAAAAGAGAAACTAGAGATAAGATGAAAATAAATATTTCTGGCGCTGCGCGTCGATTCTGCGCAAAGACAGCGCATTAAAAAAAGAGAAATGGATGCATTCCTTCATGGCCAACATATAATGTTAATTGTTTTTAAAATTTTTACGTATGTTATTTTTGCTGCATGTAGTACATCCACCATTGGTATATTTGTTCTCAATTTTATTTTGAAGTTAAATTTTCTCTGTATATCAGATACGCTTTTGGCTGACGCAATGGGACTCAATAGTTGCTTATGTCTCTGCTTATGAAACGGATGTTGAAGTTTGGTCCGCTGGCATACGAAAAAATAAAAAATGAGCGACGACGTTTTTCATTTGATTCCCTCTGGAAAAAACAAAATTACGAAAGAAAACTAGGAACAAAATTTCCGAGTTCTGATTCATGCAGATTCTTAATCCAGATTGATCCTGAGATTTCGCCAATTTCCAAAATAAAACAAGATGTGCTGCTTCCAGCCACTTGTCTTATAAATCTCAAAATAATTAAACTTGAGTCTCAAAGAATATTACGCATGGACGAAAATATAAAAACAAAGATATGTGAAAAAAGTTCAATTCTACTATAATGTCGACGTCTCTTGAACACAAAAAATCTAGAAAAGAGCTTTTGCTTGCAAAAATAAATGAAGCAAAGAAAATAGACTCCCGTTGAAGATAATAGATCAGGAAATTATAAACGAGCTGCAAAGAAAAAGCGGCAAACGATATGGGCTGGCATATAACAAAAACAATTACAATTATCTTCTTTACACACCTCAACATTGATATCGTCGTTCGGAAAACATAAGTCAACTGGCCGTAAGCTCGAATTGAAACTGTCTTCGTCCGACAGGATGTGATGTACTCAAGAAAATGTCATAGCATTTTACAGCCACAGTATTTCCAAAGAAAGTCGCAACAATGTTAAGAAAGGAACAACTGAAAAAAAAAATGAGGGAGTTCCGTTGTTTGTGTCCATCACGAGACGATGATATTTTGCATCCCAAAAAAATGTTACGAGACACTAACAACCAGCAAATATGTCAAATAAAAATATTATTTACTTCTTGATACTCAATTTTCTATAGAAAATTCACCATCCGTGTCAAAATGTTTCACATTCTCAAATCTGATTTTGACAGTCTCAGTCAGTTCTAGCAATGCTTTCTCCCCAAAATAAAAGGGAATCATCTACACAATCTACACCTCGGCTCAGGTTTCGTCAAATTCACGTTAAATTAACATTTAATAATTCTTTATTTCTTCTAATTATTTTATTTAATATAATTGATAATATATAGTCCATTTATGTCACATTTTTCTTTCAGGTATTGTCCCAGATTTTACTGAAGGATTAGAGATTAATCTCTTGT